TGGCTGATTGGCTCCAGCTGGAGCTATGGCTGATTGGCTCCAGCTGGGGATCTGGTCCAACATGGGCACAGCTAAGAGGCTGCACCATTCCAGGTTAGAGGACAGCGATAAAACCCTCTCTGCTCCCTGATCTCAGTTGGGTCTCTGGTCAAACCTGCCCTGGCCAGATCCCCCCGCTGCCTCCTCTCCCCTTTACCTGGGCTGAGAGAAGAATGGAATCTTGTCATCCCATCCATCTGGGGCTGCTGCTGCATCATGCAGGGCCCGTGGCCAGGCACAGCGTTCCTTCAAGGGCTTTCTGCCCATTCCAACTCAGGGCGCTGGAAATGGAGCTACACGGTGCTTAGTACCCGAAGGCCAACGTGCTGAGATCACACCCCAGAGATCAAGCCCCACGGTCGACCATAAGTTACTACGCTTCACGCAGGAACTGCTGGCTGGATTCTCTGGCCTAGACGACCCCAATGGTCCCTTTGTGCCTGAAATAGCAGCCGAGCCCCGTTCTCCTTTGTGTGCCATTTGCAGGGGGGGCACAGCGAGAACGGCACCACCTACTAGCATCCCATGCTCACTGTGCATTGCAAGGCGGCTGATCCAGCCAAGCACGTCGGTGTGTGCTTTGCACCGGCCCCGGGAGCCATCACCTGGCCCGGGCGGGGTCATTGCCTGCCTCAAGTGAAGCAGCTGCCAAAGCGCTGGGCTGGGTCAAAGGCAAAGGGGTCGGCTTCTCTAGTGAGCTCAGAGCACAGGCACAGGCCTGAGTATTTCCAGAGCTCAGTGCCCAGCCCAGCACTAGCTCTCTTGGGGCTGCTTGCTGCTCATCTCAGGACTGGCTGGGGGCTGGGCAGGTGGAGCATTCAGCACCCCGGGTCCACTCCAGGCTTTGTCACTTACCTTACGCACGGCCCTGTGACTCTTGGTGCCTGTTTTCCTCCCATCCTTCATCTAGTTAGACTGAGCTCTTTGGGGCAGGGCCCAGCACAGTGGGGACCTGGTCTCAGTGAGTGGCAGAGTAGGGCCCTGATCACGGTCTGGGGTTTGTGCAGCATCCAGCGCAATGGGAACACGGCCGCCCATGGTTGGGGGATCTGGGCAGCACCTGGCACAAGCGGGCCCCTGATCTCGCTCAGCAGCGGGGGTGTTGTGCCTGCCTGGCATGACTAGGGCCCTGATCTTGGTTGGGGTCAGTGCGGCACCTGTGTGACAGGAGCCCTGATCTCGGCCCAACACCCAGCCTGACAGGGCCCCACTCTTTGTTGGATGCTACTGCAATATAACCCATAATAGACAAGGTACAAAGCAATGGAGAAACAGGCCCTCGGTCAATCCCTTAACCGTCTCTCGGCCCGGTCTGCCCACACAAAATGAGGACTAGAACTCCAGAGTTGTACGAAGTATAGAATCAACTGTATTCCCCTTTGCGGTAATGTACATGGGTTGAAAGTTTTTTTTGACTTCATCATAATTGGTAACACTTTACAGTAACATTGAAGAGTACAGGAAGTTTACAGGGTAAATATGCAGAACCACAGAGTATTTTCCCCAAAACAATCAGGAAGGGGTTTCTGTTCATTAAAAAAACTAAACCAAAACTGATACAAAAAGAATGAATTAAAAATTTATTTCCTCCCCACCTGGAATGCTGTAAAGGAAAAAGATTGGGAATTCTATTGGTAAAATAAACCAATCTCTCTCTCGATATTTTAAAAAGAGGATATTTATCAGAGTGTCATATTTTTAAAATAGAGTTTGCAACCTTCATTTCTCCGCCCGAGCCCCTCCCCCAAACAAAAATAAAATATTAATAATGTACAAATTAATTTACAGTTGATAATGTTCATTACACTCCTAGAGAAACGGACAGAAATCCCCCTCCTTCACCCTGCAGACAGTTCCATTCAGTGGCGAAGTTTGGAATGAACGAAACTCCAATAATTATCTGCGTCTTTAAAAAAAATGTTGGGATTTTTGGTAAGAGAAAAATACAGAACTTGAGCTCATGCAGTGGTCTAAGATGCTGAGAGATGTCCACCAAATTTCACCTTCGCTAACATTCTTCAAAGCACCTAAGAGATTTAGGAGCCTAAATTTCATTTTCAAAAATTTAGGAGCCTAAATACCCTGGAAACTTTGCAAAATGTGATGCCTTTTCTTAAAAAAAAAAAACACACCTCAAAGCCTGAAAATTAATATGAAATGATTTCAGTTCACAGCTTACAATGGCAGATATATCACCCTCTCTTCAGCTCGCTGCTAGCCCCTTTTGGCATTTTAGCATTGAAGGCGAGGGGAGTTTGCAATAACTTTGCCAGGCTTGAGAAATTGAAGTGCCTATTTCACCTGCATCCTATCACTCTGAAATAAAGAATTCCAATCCAAATTCCTCGCCTCCCTACACCCTTCCCAGCAATGGGCATGAGCCTGGTAGGGTTGGAGTTCTCCAACCCCAATCCAGCACAGCTCCCTTAGCTTCACTGATACCGCCCCTGAGAAAAGGGGTTTACTGCTAGATCTAGCAGATGGACAGTGAGATTTGATGGCTGGAGCTGGCGCCAGTAAGATGTACGTTTTTAACGGTGGAGATGAGGAATGAAATTTTAGAGCCGTTCCCCAAGGGATGCGGATTCTGCATCCCTTGAGGGCTTTCTATCGTCCAATAGATATGGTTTCATTGGGACGCAAGTCATGGGCTGGGTGCAGGAACTTCTGGGCAAAATTCTGCCATGTCTCCCTTGCAATCTGTGACTCTTTCCCTACTGGCTTTGACCGGACAACCCCTATGCTTTGAGCTAGGCAGGTGCTGAAGTGCGTTGCTGCATCGGAACCAGCTGAAAAGCCCCTGACAGAGCAAAGCCCTGTGGCACCGACCTGTCTGGAAGCAGGGGCCGGCCCTGTCGGCCAGTTCGCATGCAGAAGGATGGGCTGGAGTCTTGCAGAATCGGGATCAAAGATGGGAGTTGGTCTCTAGTGGCCGTGCCCAGAGATCATCGAGGGATCCTACCTGTAACACGGCGGGGAGAGATTTTTTGTCTCTAGCTCCTTTTCAAACGTCCTTCCAAACCCTCTTTGATTCTTCTGTGTTAAACTGTCCACACATATACGTTATATAATATATATATTTATATATATATATATATTTTATATATATATAGAGCTCTCTTTATATATAGTCATTTGAAAAGCCTTTCCAATTCCCCCAGTGAGGGGCGAAGGTATGGGTGAAGGAAATAGTCCAATGCCTCCACCCACTCCGTTCATTTGCAAATTCCCATCAACAGCTGCTTACCCCCCTGTCCTAGATACCTTGAAAGAACAACACAATTTAAGGACATGCTCTGAGAAGACACTTAAAGGATGATCACAATAGCACCTTGGCATGGAGAAAAGGGGATGGGAGTGGAGGAGGCATGGGGGAAAAGGAATTATGCCGTCAATCCCCTGAAAACAAAACAGAAACATTGTATATATTTTCCCATCTCCCCCACCCCCACACATCCCGAGCAGGTACCCCCAAACCAGTCTCAGCTCCCGTCGCTGTTGCTTAAGCAAAAACCAACACCATCCCAACTCTAACCCTTTTGAGAATAGCACCCCCTTTTGTTACTACAGAGCAGAGAGCCGAATGGCCGATCAGTTCCATAGTTGGACAAGATCCATGTTAACTGCTTTATTTACCACCATCGTTATTAATGGATTCATTTTTATTTTCCCGAGAGTTCGTGATTTTGTTTGTTTCGGTTCGGTTTACTCCACACATTTCCAAGACTCTGACACATTAACAAAGAGAGAGAAAAAAAATCAGTTATAATTAAAGACACCCCCCCTTTTATTGTTTTAATAATAATTCCGAGAGAGACCGATTTTTCGTCCCCAAAATCTTTGCCCAGCCAAGTTTTCTGGATCCAGCTGTATCCTGCTCCGCGTCGTAATTTTGTCGATAGTTATGAGAGAAAAATCAAATCTTTTGTATCCCAATTGGATTAGTCTGTTTCCAAACAGGGCATGGGCGAGGGGTCTAAAAGGGGTGGGGAGATGTACCCCAAAGTTTCATCCGGATGAGGAAGCATCTAACCTCCTGGGATAACAGAGGGGGGGGAATCAGCTGTCACCTCTCTCTCTATATATATATCTTGAAGGCAAAATCCTGGCTCAGCTTTATCTAGGGAGCTCCGAAGCCTTCATCAATCCATCTACCCCTCCCAGATCCTCGTTTTCTGTTCTCTTTCCGAGTGGTTGCTTATTTCCGGTGCCAACCTCTAACCATGGCATGTGTGATTTGATCGCCCCCTGCCCTGTTCTTTCCCCCACTTCGTTTGCTAAAAGGAAAACAAATTAAACAAACCCCCAAGATCTGAAGGAATCCGGGGTGGGAAGCGAGCGTGATTTTGGTTTTGGGGTGTTGTTATTAATTTATGAGGATGAACTGAAAAATTAAATAAGGGAGAAATGAACAAATTGAAACCAGTGTGGGGTGGAGGTGGGGGGCAGGATCCACTGGTTGCCTCTGTGATGCAGAGGGAGGAGAAAGGAAGGCTGGGAGGTTTCGTTGGTCTCTTGTATCCAAAGGTTGGCATGATTTGAGCCGGTCTCACCTTGCGATCGTCTCTCTCGCGCTCGCCACCAGAGGGACAGGAGGGAGGCGGGGCCAGGGGGGGCGGAGACTCACACATAATACTCCTTGTCCTTGTTTTTCTTGCTCTTGCTGGGGGTTTTGGTGGCAGAGGTGGGTTTCTCCTTCACCACCGTGCCATTGCTCTGTGCCGAGTTGCTGATGTAGTTCCGGCTCTGATCCACCTGGTAAGAGCCTTCGTCCCGGTTTCGGTACTTGTACATGGCATAGAGGAGGATGAGGATGCACAGGGCGGCCGCCGCCACAATGCCGACCACCATCCCCGTGGTGCTGCTAGATTCGCGGATCACCTCGACGGCTCCCGGGGGACCCCTCTCCCCCGAGCCGGTGGGGTTAGCTGTGGGTAGATTGTGGAAATTGGGGGAAGATGTTATACTGGGGTACTTATGCCTGTTACGGTTGTCGAGTTCAAAAGAGGTGGGCAGAGGGGGGTACTGGTCTGGGTGGGGTTTGGGGGCCTCGCGATTGTTCATTTTGCCGGCGGGGATGTTACGGACCAGATCGGGAGAGGCAGTGGAGGTCAGGAGCTCAGGGATTGAGGATGAAGCTGGCACTCCTGTCCTAATGTTGGGCCTGAAGCCTTGGGACTTTTTAGATGCTCCATCTGGCCTGGCCAGCAGGGTCCTATCTGTGACCAAGGGGAATGTGGTGTAAAAATCTTCGTCATCAGTAGGGGGCAGGCTGGAGTCGAAGACCTCGCCCGAGGCGTAACCGGAGGCCTCAATGCCCTCTTCGCAATCGCTGTCCTCTTGGTCGGCTAAGCACGGGGGTTTTTGATTGGCGGAAGGGGCTAGGGTGTCTCTGGTGGTCTCTATTACGGTTAGGAAGGGGCCAAAGGTAGGTGGCGGGGGTATGAATGGAGACCGGGTGGCAATTGGTGGGGTGTCTAAGGAATCTTCGGTAATTATGGGCAATACTAATTCACCTCCTAGAACAGAGAGAAATAAAGGGGGAAGAGAAACAGAAAAGGAGAGATGGGTTAATACGAACCGGAGGAAAAACTGCCACATTTGGACACAAGAAACTGAATCAAACTGATCAACTGAATTTAAAACTAGACTCGTTCCCCAATCTCTGGCTGCTTTTTAACGAATCTTTACAACTGTTTTTTGTTTTAAACTGTAGCTTTTTACAACAAAATCTAGAGAAATCATAAATTTAAAGAAAAAGAATTAAAAAAAAGAAATTAGTCATTTAATGCAAAAAAATTAAACAGATTTTCAAACAGCAGAATTAAGTAATAATAAAAGAAAAAACCTAATTGCAAACTGCTTTTCACATTTCTTTTTATTCCCCTCCTTTTCTCTTTCATTTCATTTTTTCCCTTTTCTTTTCGTTTTAAAAATAAGAGAGCAAACCACAGAATTCAATCAACTTACATCAACAAATTGGCCATGTGATTTTAGCATGAAGAAAAAAAATTACAAAAAAGAAAACTAGGTAAGAATGTTTTTTTGGAGAAAAAACAACTTTTTTTTCTTTCTTTTTTTTTAAACATCTCTTTTCTCTACCACTCGCCTTTTCAATTGTCTCTCTAGAGTAATTTCTATGTTTCTTTCTTTCTCTCTTTCCATCTAGATTAATTTCTCTTTCTATCTATACTCTTTCTTTCTAGATTCATTTGTGTCTATATTCTTTGATTTTTCTTTCTAACTAGATTTGTTCCTCTTTTGCTAGATTAATTTATCTAGTCTTTCTGTTTAGATACATTTTCTTTCCTTCTCTCTCTCTGTATTCTTTTATCTATCTTCTTTCTTTTTATCTAGATTCATTTCTGTTTCTATCTATACTATTTCTACGTTAATTCCTGTGTCTGTCTATATTCTTTTTTCTGTCTAGCTGGATTAATTTCTCTTTCCTTCTAGATCCATCTATAGTTTTTCTCTGTAGACATATTTTCTTTTTTACTTTCATTCTATCTAGATTAATTTTTCTTTCTACATCCATTTTCTTCTTTCCACCTATATAGATTCATTTCTGTATCTTTCTATATTAATTTATCTACCTTTTTCTTTATTAATTTTCTTTCTAGATTCATTAATCTATGGTCTTTCCATCTAGATGTATTTTCTTTCTTACTTTCATTCTTTCTTTCTAGATTAATTTCTCTACCTATCTAGATTCATTCATCTTTCTTTCTTTCTTTCTAGATTCATTTATCTATCTTCTATCTTCTGCATATTTTAAAATCTTTCCCTCCCCCCACCCAGACACACTTTTCGACTCTGTCTGTCTGTCTACATTTTCCATTCCCACCTCCCACCTCTCCCTCCCCCCACTTTTTTTTTTAACATATGGCAACCAAAGTTGATGTTGAAATGACAAGGACACTGCACACATTATTTGGTCCTTTGCACTGGCTGTAAATTTGGCGGGTGTGTGTTGGGAAAATACATGTTTAAAAAACATACATAACTATATTTTCAGTAGCTGTTTTGACAGATCTATGGGCTCTGTCCCTATTAGAACTGGAAAGAAAGCAGATAGAGGGACAGATGCCTAACACCACTGATGTCAACAGGAATAGAACCCAGGAATCCTGACTATCAGAGCTGGGGATAAAACCCAGCAGTCCTGACTCCTATGCAGTTACACCCCACTGCACCAGCTGAGGATGAGGACTCCAGGAGCTTGGCAGACCATTCCCAGTATGTGCCATTCCCATCAGCTGGTTCCCAGTTTCCTCACCAGATTCTCAATGGACAGTGCCAAAGCCATGGGCTCCCTAGCTACACCAATCTTCCTGGCAGTAGCAGGATTAGAGCTCCCAAACTTGCTGCCCATGGACTGGAGTAAAAGAGACTCGCTGTTAACTGTGCGGGGGCTCTGTCATACAGAGCTGTGACTCTGATTCTTCCCAGGGGAGGGCAGTGGCACCCTTTTCCCCACCACTTCATTACAGCCCAGCCTGTAGTAGCAGTGCTGTGTCTGTACAGTGATTGGGGCTGCCTGCCAAGATAGAATCCAGGGGCATCAGGGATCCCAAGGCCAAGCCTCTACAGGCTGTCCCAAGGGGTGGGACTATCAGCACCTATGCAGTGGGCAGTGTTCCCTCTAATTTTTCCCACCCATGTGCAGAATGAATTTTATTATGTGCACCAATATGGAGGTGATGTGTGACACATCACCTCCATATTGGTGCACATTAACAAAATTCATGTGGTGGGGAGGGATCAAGGGGTTTGGAGTGTGGGAGGGGGCTCAGGGCTGGGGCAGAGGGTTGGGGTGCGGGGGGCTGAGGACTCCAGCTAGGGGTGCAGGTGGGACCAGGGATGAGGGTCTCAGGACTGGGGTAGAGGGTTGGGGTGAGGGCTCTGGAGTGGGGCTAGGGATGAGGGGTTTGGGATGCAGGCTTCCTCGGGGCTACAACAGCAGCACCTGGGCTGGAGGAGAGAGGTGCCTCTCGCCGGCCAAGGCAGGTCCAGGCCGGGGTTGGGTTGGGGCTGGGGGAGGGGCGCCTCCCCCCAGCCACAGCAGGTCCAGGGCTGGGTTGGGGCTGGGGGCGGGGTGCCTCTCCCCGCCACGGCAGGTCTGGGGCTGGGCTGGGTCGGGGGCAGGGGGAGAGGCATCTCTCCCCGCTGCAGCCTGAACGCCTGCACTGCACCTAATAGGCTGCTGCACGGCTGCTTGGAGGGAACTTAGGCAGGGAGCTCATAAACCTGCATATGTGGTCACACCACCAGTGGGCGCTGTGATAGGACAGGGGGGTTTGCATGAGAATGCACCCAACAGAGCCACTACCCTCCATGGTTTACAGACCAAATACTCTGCTCCGCTTACGGGTGAACGTAGAAGGGAAATGAGTTACACAACAGCTTGAAGCAAGTGGCTTAGTACTCTGGGAGTCAGGACTCCTGGGTTCTTTTCCTGGATCTGGATGGGAAATTGAGTCAGGTGGTTAGAGCAGGGGGGCTAGGAGCCAGGATTCCTGGGGTCTAGCCCTGGCTTGGGAGGGTAGTGGTTAGATCAGGGGTAGGTAGGTGTCAGGAGCCCTGAGGGCTGTGGCCTGTTTCTCTGTTGCTTTACCAGTGAGTCACTTCACTCAGCTGCTCCTTCATTTGCAATATCAGAGATAACATGACCACTCCGCAAGGGAGTGTATGGGGTGGAATTAACTACGTGCATGCTTTGAGCTCCCACATCTCATACGCCAGGTGGTGTGGAATATGAGGGTGACTCTCCTTTACAAGGCTGCAGTAGGTATTTAAATGATCTGTGTGTTTTCAGTGCCCCCTTCTGCAGGATGGGCAGTGTAAGCAAATCACTGCTTAGCTAGAGCCCTCAGCCAAGCCTGGGACTCAGAGCTGTCACTTGACACAGGGTCTCAAGAGGGAGAGGACGTTGGCGACTGAGTGAGTTTATGAAGGAAGCTCACAAGAGATCACCATGACTGACTTAGTCAAGCCGCAGGGTGCCATGAGATCTGACTTCAGGTAACCAATAGGTGCAAAAGACACTGGGTGGGGGGAGAATGGCTTGGAGGGAAATTAGGGGCTGTGGGATGAACAGAAGCAAAGGATAAAACTTGGAGGGGAATAAACTGTAGGGGACAAGCCTGGCCACTGGTGGTGGTTGGAATAGACTGTAGGTGCCAATTTTGGCAGGTGGAAAATACACTGATGGAAAGGGCAGCTCGAGAGGCAGGGAGTGGGGTCCATAACTATCATGTGTCAGGGAGTTCCGCAGGCTAATGATACTGTGTACAAATGGCGTCACTTGACATATGTTGCTTGGAATTTCATTAGGGGTTCCTGAATGGTGAGTGAAGGTGAATAGCAGATCCCAGTTGCCTGTCTTGATCCTGTACATTCTTTTAGGCCCCTCTAGCAGGGCCGGCTTTAGGCCAATTCCACCAATTCCCCCAAATCGGGCCCCGCGCCTAAGAGGGCCCCGCGCCCAGTGGCAGGGCCACCCAGAGTGGGGGGCAAGTGGCCGAGAATCCCTTCCCTGGCTAGAGGCGCCTTTTTAATTTTTACTCACCCGGCGGCGCTCCGGGTCTTCGGCGGCACTTTGGCGGCAGGTCCTTCACTCGCTCCGGGTCTTTGGCGGCACTTCGGCGGCGGGTCCTTCAGTGCCGCCGAAGACCCGGAGCGAGTGAAGGACCCGCCACCGAAGACTCAGAGCGCCGCCCGGTGAGTACAAGCCCCGCGTGTTTTTTTACGTGTTTTTTTTTTTTTAAGTCATCCCTGCCGGGGCCCCGTCAAAATTGTTCGAATTGGGCCCCGCACTTCCTAAAGCCGGCCCTGCCCTCTAGCATATCCCCCTCTCCTTCATCTCCTTGCTGAGCTAAACATCCTGATCTTGCCAGCCTCCTCTGCTTCCAAATCTTGAATTATTTTCATTGCCCTGTGATTTCTGTCAAGCTGGGGCCATCTCATAGATTTACACAATGGCACAAGACTATTCTGCTGTATAACATTCTCTCTGCTTCTGCACACACACTCCTGGCCTATTCTGCACTGGTTGAGTGCTGCTGTGCACTTAGCAGAGATTGCAATTGAGCTGGTAGGAGGCACTGTGCTGCTGGGAGTGGGGTGGGGACTCAGTAGGGGGTGCTCTCTCCCCAAGGTCAGTACTAACCCCAATGTGGCACTAGGGGGTGCTGTGCTTCAAGCAGTGGTGCACGTTAGCCATAGGGACAGTCAGCTGCATTTCAGCACTGGGTGAACAGGCCCCCATTACCCCACCCCAGAGGCAGCTGCATCTCGACAGTGGGTGAAGGATCCCTATAGCTCATCTAGCTCGGAGTCACATACATTAGCTCAATATTATCATTAAAAGCTGCATTCTTTGTCAGCTGAGGAAAACAGAGTCAGGGCTGCGTTATGGTTTGAAAGGCAGCAGTAAATAACAGGGAAGGAAAAGCTTCTTCCTACAATTGCACACGCCAACGCCAAAGTCTCCAGTGGTTGACAGAGAATCCCCCTC